CGTTCGCCATAGACAGAGCGGGCAAACAGAGACAGGAGAGCACACAGAGAGAGAGAGACAGGGGGAGAGGGAGAGAGAAAGAGACAGACAGAGAGAGACAGAGAGAGAAGAGTAAAGGGGCAGGAGCCTATCTTTCAAAGGGGTCCTCTGCACCTGTGTGCAGACTTCTTTCCCATGGACCCTTGGGCTGACCAGGGTATTGCCTGAGTGGATTCCACCAGGTAACAGGGGCAGGCCAGCATAATGCCTGAACCTTTCACCGTCCTCATGCTGTTTTCCCAGCCCCTCCTTAAAATCTTTTAATTCTCTTCAAAAGTAGTCTTCTGTAGCTATTTCTTATGGTTTTCATTTTTCAGCATTCACAGAAGTGCACAGAATGGTTAAAATAGCTCTCCTCTTACGTGTATCTTTCGTCCAGTTCTCTTATAGATAATTGTCCATATGGCCTTGCTTTAACACTTAAAAATGTCAGTTATTATTGTCTGTTACATAATTAGTTGCAAGGTAAAACTGTCATAAACTAACATTCAATTATGGATGAGATGAAGCAGTGGTTATTTTTGTGACATTTATTATATTCACTTCAAAGTTTTCTGTAATTTCTTTGACAGTCCTCAGTCAGCACTTATTTATTTATTCATTTATATCTCTTTATTTTTTACAAGCAGCTTTTTAAGTGGCATTTATAAACTAGGAGTTGTTCTCATGTGGGAAGTTACTAATAGACACTTTGGATTCCCGTCTCTTTGCTGTGGTTGGTCTCTTTGGTTGGGAGAAGCAAGGGAAGAACATGGGGGAAACGGACTCCTTTAGAAACAGCCAGAAACACTTCAGTCGTCCTGCGTTTTGAGATTTAAGTATTTGTTCCAAAAGGTAGAAATTCTAGATTTCAGCATAAAAATTGGACATGTCTGTAGAATGGATTTAAACTTTACGTTCTCTCTCTCTCTCTCTCTCTCTCTCTCTCTCTCTCTCTCTGTGTGTGTGTGTGTGTGTGTTATAATTCAAAATATCCTAGAGACTGTTATCCTAGATAACTGTGATATCACTGGCGATATCTAGGGATGAGTTTCTACAGCTGTTGCCTAACAGCGAATAGACTTTTAAGTTGGCTCTTTTATCTTAAATAGAACATTTTAGCCTATAGTTGAATTCATTGCCTTCAGCTGACTTTTATAATTATTCTGCAAGGATAGCAATGTTTTTGAAATGTTTACAGCTAATCTCTTAGCATCGATAGGTTGCTAACAAAAAAAAAAAAAATACAAACCTTAGCAGCTACTCCTCCCATTAGAGGAAGGCAGTTGTCATCAAGTTTATCTTGTACTTCCCATGCTAGTATACACACACGTATGTACATGTAGTGAACTCACACACGTGTTCCCACTCAGAGGCACATGCTCTTTACAGGCAAACCACCTCTTTTATTTATTTGATTGGTGTATGGAAATCCATTTGTGTGTGTGTGTGTGTGTGTGTGTGTGTGTGAGCGCGCGCGCGTGTGCACGCACAGACAACACCACCTACTCAAGTTTGTGTTGACCACAGGGTTTGAAACTGACATGTTGTTCTTTATCAGGCAGGAACAGGAAACCTCTGCCCCGAAGACCTTTGTGCAGAGCACTAACTTACTTGTTTCATTCCTTAGGAAGGTAGTTTAATTTTGTAAAAAGCCCCGTGAATTTGTGAACTTGCAAATGTCTACAGCATCTGGTTAGAAAATGGAACCATTTTGACTTGTAGGTGAGAGAGTGGTGGCCTTCGCCGCCGGAGAAGGCGGTTTCTTCTCTGGGTCGTTTGCTGCTATATTCTGGCTGAAGAAGAGAGGCCTCATGCCAGGACTCACGTTTTCAAACGAGCTGATCAGCAGGGACGAGGTAAGGAAGGAAGTGTTCTTCCCCTAGAGTTTGTGTGATCTGTGGTCATTTCTTTTTCTTTCCCCTGGGGAAAATGTGTGTTATGACAGAGGTATTCTGGTAATGAAAAGGAAGTAGAAACTCACTTCTTCCTTGGCCCGTGAGAGTTCGTTTTCCTTCCACACCTCCTCCAGTTCCTCCGTGGTCTCTGCTAACCCTTAAATAGAACAGACTCAGATTCTTACTCTGTAGACCAGGCTGGCCTTGAACTCCACCTCCTGAGTGCTGGGATTAAAAGAGTACACCACTTTGCTTGGTTTAATTGACCTCTGTTAACACTGTTTACTGACCATGTGTGTGTGTGTGTGTGTGTGTGTATATGATGTGTAATCATATATATATGATGACTATAACATGCAATTTCAATTTCATTGTATTTATTTTAAACAGTTTCTCAAATTGCTCTTTATTTGAAAAATGTGTTGTATGTATTTATGTGTGTGGGGGGGTGTCTGGGTATCTGTCTGTCTGTCTGCCTACCTACCTGTCTGCTTGTCTGCCACCTCCATGGCACACATGTGGAAGTCACAGGATACCTTGTAGGAGTTGGTTCACTCCTACCATGTTGGTTCCAGGGATTGAACTTGAGTCATCAGGTTTGGCAACAAAGCTTCACCCTTTGAGCCATCTTGCTGGCCTTGATGATTTTAAAGATAGGGGTCTCATATCTCTCAGACTCACTATTTAGCATTCTGATCCCCTTATCTCTACCCCTGACTGCTAGAATCACAGGTGTGAGCCACCACACCAGTTCTATCCTATGCTGAGGAACAGCAAACCCGGGTCCTCAAGCGTGCTAAGCAAATGCTTTACCATTGAGCTATTTCCCCTCCTCTTCCTTTTGTTTTGAGATAGGTCTTACAGAGTTATTGACACTGAACACATTCTATAGCCTAGGCAGGTCTTGATCTTCTGATTCTCCTGCCTCAACCTCTCTGGTAGCCTAGATTATAAGCCTGTATTTCAGTGGGCACCAGTATGTTTTAATAATTGCTAAAACACATCTCAAAAATGTTTATTTTTAAGATGTCCTTGTAAAGTTATTCCCAATTATCCTTCCAGAGGAGTTTTTGGACTAAAATGTCTTAGGATTTTGATTGGAATTGCTTTAAATTGAAAGTTAATTTTGTTCGTTTATTGATCTGACAATTATGCTTATCTTTGATTTGCTGGTCTCTGCAGTAGTTAGTGAGCTGCCAGTTCTAATCAACGTTTAACATCTCTCATTCTGCCTTTGCTAATCCAAGCATTCTCCTCAATCAACTCTGTGGGGAAAAAAATAACTAGTACAGTCCCAAAGATTAGCATTTCAGAGGGTATGGATTTTACTTATTAATTCAGATAGTTTTGTCAGAGGATAATTAGGTATATAATCCTTGCAATGCAATGAAGTGAGGGTCTTATCTGAGTGTTTGGTCTTTTGTTGTTTTACTTAGCAAAGCCTAAGTAATTCCAAGTTGCACCCTTTTATTATCAACATTCCTTTCCCTTCCTCGGTCACTTACAAAGTTACTTCTTTCCTTGTAATTTAAAAAATATTAATTGACTCTACCTTGGCATCATATTTTAAAAGTTAATATTGCTGAGAAATATATCATCTTCCTGTATGTAGCCTTGTTTTCATTTTCTGTTTTGAATTTGTGAAAATTCCCTCCCCCTTTTTTTTTTTTTTTTTTTTCTTGATTTTCAGCTTGTTACCACTTGCTCTGATTTGGAGTCCTGAGTGCAGGCCAACTCTCATTGATTTGTTCCACAACTACTTAAGGTTTTATAGTATTCATTGTGTCTGCATGATTGTTTGGTGCCCAAGGCCGTTTCCTACATTCATTTTCTTCTGTGGTCAAGTTATTTGCTGTGGCTTCAGGTGGTGTACGCCCTGCCTCTCCATTTGCATCGCACCAAGTTCACTTTTCTTTTGATTGTTACTTAATCTGAACACTGTCTTTTTGGAGTCTCTGTGAATGAGTTTCATTTGCTCTTTAAATGCTACTGTATTGGTTACTTTTCCTGTGGATGTGATAAAATCCCTTACATTAGGTACAAATGCTGCTTGGCCAATGACTAGGATTTCTCATCTGCTAGCTCAGTCTTAATCATCATAAATCTATATAAGACTTATCGTATGCCAGCGGAAGTGTCCTGTCTTCCTGGGCTCACAGGGTGACTCTGCGCTTTCTCCTACCTTTCCCAGAATCCTCCTTGACTCCTAGTCCCACCTATCTATCTTGTTTTCCTATTGGCCAACAGTACTTTTTATCAACCAATAAGACAATCATATACACAGAAGGACCTCCCCCATCAACAGTCCATCATAGCAGAGGGGGCATTGGCAACACAGCTGATCACACTGCATCCCTGTTAGGAAGCAGAGAGTGATCCATGGTGGTGCTCAACTCACTTTCTGCTTTTCATTCAGTCCAATCCCCCTGCCTGTGGGATGGTGGGATGGACCACTTGTGTTTAGGGGTGGATCTTCCCACTTCTGTCAGCTAATATAGGAAAATCACAGACCCCTCCAGAGGTTTGTTTCTATGGTGATTCTCAATCCCATCAAATTGCCAACCATAGCTGATGACTATTTTTCAAATTTTTTGACGTTTAAAAATCAGTTTCCATGTTGTCTCTTCTTACATTTTTCTTCTTTTCAAAATGCTTTTGTTACAAAATTTTCTGTTTAGTATTATAAAGTGTTAATAATATAAAATGTTAGTAAACTAAGATTTACTATCATTCAAAGTTTCTGTTTTAAGTTATGGGCTTGACATTCAATGCAGTTTGGAGGAGAGAGGTTCCTGGCTCTGTTAACCCTTTCACCCCCAGGGGATTCCCCGTTCCCACTCCACACAGCATGTTGACACTTTGTGTGCAAGTAGCTGACT